AAAGGAGAGACAAGCAAGGAGGAACTCAGGTCCCCTGGCTGCTGCAACTCAACCCTGCTGGAGTCCTCACCTACAACAGCTGAGTGAAGCGAGAAGCACAAGGCTGAGATATAAAAGAAGAGGCTGACTCTGGCCTCTCCTGAGGAGTCCTGCCCTCGTTAAGAATGCAGCTGTGTGTGTGCATCTGTGAACACATGAGTCCACGTGGAGGAGTTGACAGGGATGGGTGTCTAGTGATTCTGCCCCTTAGCCAAGAGCACGTCTGGACCCAGCCTGATGCACTGCCTGCCTGGCCCTTACCCCTCACCTGCAGACTGTACTTTAGGTTGGCCTTAAGCCTCTTCCCATAGTCCTGCACAGACCCCTGAGAGCTCGGCTTCCATGTAGGCCGGAGACTCTGGGTCGCAGCCCGATTCAAGTGGGACCCCCAGCAGCTGGGCGCCGGCACCTGCAGGGCGAGACAGTAGGGATGTAGGCCATGGAAAGGCTGGTGTAGGGGACAGAGGTGTCTCCAGCCCCGCAGAGACCTGGAGGGGGAGGGGGCGGGGCGGGGCGGGGCGCGGCGCTGGCCTTCTACCACCCTGTCTATCCTCCCCACGAGTTCTGTGCCCTACAGAGGGTGGGGCGCGACTCCTCTAGGCTCCGGCATACAGGAAATTAATAGAGAGGATGAGATGTTCAGCCTGGGTACCTCCTCGGCTGCCGCGGGAAGCGACTGCTCCAAATCGCGAGGCCCGACGCCGCCGGCCTGGCCCAGGGTCTCCTTCAGGGCACCGTACTCCCGGTAGAGTGCTGAGGGCGGGATCGGGGTGGGGGTCGGTGTTTAGGGGTCAGCAGCCTGGAGTCAGGGCTCGGATGGGGCCGCCCGGCCGCCCCGCGCCCACGCGCTCACCGCGGGTCTCCTCCGGCGCCGCGTCTACGTCCTCCTGTAAAGGGAGTGCGTCAGCAGGAGGCCGCACCCTCAGCTCCCCGCCCACAGACAGCCCACACCTGGCCTGGCCGCCGTCCGTGCTGCCGCCGAAACGCACGCTCCCACGCCTGCAGCCTCTCCCGCACGTCCCGCAGCCGC